ATAAAAAAATTATCTCCATGACATTACTCAATTTAAAAGGCCTCTTTCGGATTCTTTATCTCCATCAATTTACGAAGACTTCACTTTTTTGAGTCCTCCTCTTTCTCTATTTTATTATTTCTTTCTTAAATTACTGGCTTTTTGTACGTCTAACTTTTTTCAGAGATGGATTCTAGTGCAACGTGGGGGGCAGGAAGCGGTCAATGTCATTGTCCGGTACAATAATGTTAAAATAATGTAATATTAATTTTAAAATATTAATTTAATTTAATTTAATTAATATTGTAATAGATAAAAATAAATTCCGACTGCAACTCGAGAGTGTATATGATTATGATCATCTATAATAATATTATGATCATGTAATATTAATTTTAAAAATATTAATATTATTTAATTTAATGATTAAAAATAATTGATATTTAATTAAATAATAATTATTATTATTTAATAAATTAAAATTATTTTATAAATTAATATTTTTTAAATGTTATAATCAAATATTTATAAAAAAATTTATAATTAATAAAAAAAATCTAAGTGTGGTAATAACTACAGCCCAACTTGGGGCTATAAATATGGGACTCATTGGGGGGAGGGTTCACAGCATCCTACTGCCTACTACCCAAAATGAAGGCATTTCTCATTGCAGCCATTCTCTTGTCCTCCCTTCTCATTGCCACTAATTCCACTTCGGCTGGTGACAAAGGTACATATATAAGATTATCTCGTATACTACATGAGTTTTAATTTGAATGAAAACAAGAAAAAAACCCACCGAAGAATTGGAGTAACTTACGTATACAAAAGGTTATAACAAATATTATGGGTTAATATATGTGCTAACTCTTTTGCAGGAGCTGCTGTTTGTAACGATCCAAAAAACGTGAAGAATTGCAACGCGAAAGCTCCACCAAAGACGAGATGCCCAAGAAGAGAGGGATGCAGGGGGCCGCCGGCGACAACACCACACACATCTACGCCTTAATAATTATAGACGAAGCTATGTAGGCATATGCTTTTATAAGGGAAGTCGCAAATATGCAATTGCTATGTATAAATAAGTTGCGTATGCCTGTTGTGATGTGGGTTACAAATAATAATGAACTCTATGCTATGTAACAAATGCTTTGTACGCAATCTGCTATGAGTATTTCTAAATAATACTTTTCAAGGTTACTTGAAATACTCAAATATATAAGTTTAAGCACGAAAATTGCACATAATTGATGCCTTTATAAATCCTTACAAAAAATTTCTCCGTTTTCTGAGTCACTAATAAAATTTATTATTCATATTCCCCATTTCTTATTACTTTTAAAGACATATTCAAGTAAGACTATAATTCAATATTCATCTACAATAAAAATGACATACAACCACTTACAACTTTAATTCATCACATTATTTCTTAATAGTATAATTTAATTGACGAAAAAATCAACTCTCCTTTCTCCACTCCTCCATTCCTCTCAAATTAAACAAACTCTAATAACATATTTAATTTGGCCTTTAAAAAGAAAAATAAAAAAAGTCAAGTCTTACAAAATTATTGGTTAATTTGACACAATATTTTACTAATTCTTGCTCAAAAATTTATGCAAAAAAATAACATATTATAAAGTAATGAATTTAACTTATTACTTTCAGCTTTATAACCAATTACTTTTATGTATAATTGATTCTTTAAATATGGTCGTTAATATTTTTTGATATACAAAGTTTAAAAATTAAATTTTAAATTTGTGACTACTAAACTACATGGC